GCCCCTACACTAATTAGTGTTCCACAAATGTGCTAAAAAAAAAACACAGTCATTTTGCGACGAGTTCTAATGTAGCTAATTCGTCATGAAAACATTGAACTCGCTTTCTGTATCATCAGTCCAGTACTTAGTACAAGGTTCTTGCATCAGGTTTAAAAACCATAATGCACGAAAGCTCAGATTTGGACTAATAGCTGAAAGGAATAAAAAAAATAAATTAAAAAATGGAATCTAATGGAATTTTGGAAGAACTACCGAATATTAAAAATAGGCTAAAATTATAAAATTTCAAACAAAACAAACTTGTCATAAGAATTCTATGATTTCCCTACAGGAAAAATGTCCATGATTTTTTCAAATATCAAAAGCAGTAAATCACACAAACTAGTAGAAACATAGCTTGAATCATAAATGAACGAATTAAAAAAATAGCATAATTAAATCTAAAATGAATTCATAATAATTAAGAATTGTATGATTGTTGTAAATTCTGTAGAATTTATTGGAACTAACTCGTTGACAGAATTTTAAAAAATATTTAAATTCTTTTAGTATTTTATTTATTTATTTATTTGGTTGTATTTTAGGTGCCGTGTGCAACTTTATAGGTTAGAGGCATCATATTGATAATTGAATTACATTTCAATATGTCTTATGTAAAATTTTAGATGTGTATGTTGTTAAGGTGTTTGTTTAAAGAACGTGTTGTTACAACTGAATAGGTCTGGGATTAGAAAAAAAAGACTTTAGCTGCTTAGTTTAATTGTTAAAACGGTCTTGAAAATATACACGAATTCACGAATTTCCGTAATTTATTAATGTTCATTTAGTTAGTCAATTTATTATCTAACTCTGTGAACGCTCCATGATGCACCCACAGAAAGTTATCAAGAAATTATTCTAACTCAGAAATGGTTGTAACTTAAATGCATTTAACTGAATGGATCCACAGTATATATATATTAGTACTAATTTCAAGTCAAAATTAATGAGCTTGGAAGATAGTTTTCAGATTTTTTTTTTTGTCACAAACGTAATTTTATTCACAGTAAAAGTATGGATTAATATTAATAGATCGATCAAACATAATGCACGGACAATCAATGATAATTCAGGAATGATTCATGTTGTATTATTTACTGATGCTTAATGCTCTTATTGTGGCGGAATGGTTTATTACTGAAATGAAAATAAATAGTTCCAACTCAAAAAAAGAAATTTAATAATATAAAACGAATGTTTACTATTTTTGTATGTTTATCGATTTTATTTTTTAACAAAATGTAGTTTTTTCGATAGAAATAAAATTTCGTATGACACATGATTCTATGCAGGTTAATACAAACCCCATACTAGTAAAACAAACTAGACAAAATTTTAAATACATTCTTAAATGTGTGTCAGTGTATATTTATGTATTATTTTATTTCATGTTATCAATACTTTTCTTTTATTTTAGTTCCTGTCACAATTGAATATTATATTAACTTCCAATTATTTATTTATTTATTGTACATAGCTCGCCATTTTATCTTATTTATTTTATAATTTTCCTTTTTTTACTTTCATTATTGTATTTCATTAAAATTTATCACAACTAAAAACATTACTAATAATAACGCAAATGTTTATCCACACCATATGTACAATAAATAAAAAATTAACTAAATGGAATAACATCATAATAATAATACTAAAAACAAATATTATATTATACTAAAACAATTCCAATTCAATCTTTTTGAAAAACCCATACATACATGAAAATTGATAAATATATGTTCTACTATATAAACACACATATTTTTCTGAACACTTCTTGTCAGTATTTTTTTTTTTTTTATGTCCTTATTTTATTTTAATTTTTTTTTCATATTGAGTAAATAAAAAAGGAATGCAATTTCTGTATACTTTATCAGTCTAATATAACAAAATATTTATTTTAAAGTAAAAACTTCTTTCATTTTTCACTCTTCTTTTGTGGAGAGTGAATTAGATTGAGCCGACAGATCTCCGATGTGTAACGCTCGGGTAAAGTCTGCTGGAGTCGACTAATTGAAGTGTTTTTGCAAATGGATTGAAATATTCCAGAAATTAAAAATCGTAACTGCATACTGTAAGGAATTGCTCTGCATTTCATCCTCTCTGTAATGGTCTATTATTCAAAATTTTATATTAACGCAATTTTATATCCTCTTGAGCTATTATTTATATTTCACATTATTAATATCGCCTTGTCAATTCGATCGTGTAGTCTAAACAGTATTGCCCAAAAGACGAGACTTGGTCTTGCGCACCCAGTCTTAGCCTTAGTCTTGCGCAAGAGTCTCACAACAGTCTTGTGGTTACCAATTTTTTAGATAGAAGGAATATAACTAAGCCCGAATGAAAAATTAGAAGGGTTAAATGCAAATGTATATTGTTTATAACAATTCTTTACACGTAGCAACTAAAAATGTCAGGTATTAGTAACTATTTTGCCTTAATTCTAATTTTTTAAAATCGATTTTTTTTACCAATCTTGGTCTTTGTCTTGCAACAGATAGACGGTCTTGGTCTTGGTCTTGCAAAGTGGAAGACCAAGACCAGTTTTGGGCAACACTAGCTGTAAAGCACACAACTTACTTTTTTTTTAAATGTACCAAAAAAAAAAAAAAAATCGTTATGCGTTATACCACAATAAATGTTCGCATGGAAGATATTACTATAGTTGGAGATGAAAGTATTGGAATGTTGCCAAGCAGGACCATACATCAGGACTCCAACAGGTATGCAATATCCAGTCAGGTTCAACATGTCTCCAACCCAAAATTAAAAATATTTTTTCCAATCAAATTTGAGTTAGGTCTCAGGCACTTAATTCCTTGTCCGAATTCATGGTGATGCATACAAAATTTTTAAAAGACAATCCTTCAATATCATATAATCTTTAAACTTTTTTTTTGCATAAAATTGTGGAAAATTGAATTGTTAATTAAATGCAAAGTCTATATCATTTTAACATACTAATCACATTACGTAATTTTAAATTTATGGAAGAAACACTTGTTTCTTTCTTTCTTGCTTAATAGTTTTTAAGTGAATGATATATTACTGTATTTTTCTGTCCTTTTTTTTTTTTTTTTACAAAGAACATGATTCGTCTTGAACAAGTTTTTTTTTTCTAGCTAGTCAGTTTTAAATAATTCAATTCTAATAATGTATTTCATGAATATTAATTATTATATTTTCTTAAATGTGGCAGCGATATAAGAAGTCCCAGTTTTCTTTTTTTTCTTTTTTTCTGTTTGGCGTATTATTACAGAGATACATATGCATTTAGACTCACATTTACCTACGTATTATCTGAATATTATAATGAAGTCTCATCATGAAGTCTCAAACGTGCCTTTTGCGCAATATTAAAGGAACATTGTTATTTTTAATAAAATCGTCTCAACGTAAGGTATTGAGTTGACCAATCTTAATTTAAGTGGTGTCGTTCTAAATTTGACTTGATCAAAATGAGAAACATTTTATGAGAACTTATTCAATAACATATTACTCTGATAATTCTGAGCGAATTTAGTAATTAAAAAAAAAAAACTCTTTTTCTTCGTCTACTTGTTGCCTCTTAATTAATTGCAAAAATCATTAAATTTTAGTTCGTTATTGTTCTTAAAAATTACATTTAAAAATATAAATGAATTATGATCAAAAACATCTATTAAGTATCTTTCAAAAGTATTTTTAATGTTTTTTTCCTTTAAAAAAAAAAGTTTAACAATTTTCATCACAGAATCTTGTACCCTTTTGTGACTAGAAAAAAAAAATGTTTGACCACATAGTCATATAGATAAAAATATCTGCACTTTTTACCATGATTTAAGAACGTAAGAAAAAAAAAATCAAAACTAAGTATTTTTTTTTTATATATCCACAAAACTTGGAAACGTTTATTCACATACAAATAAAAAATATACACGCTAATCAGGATTCCAATTGTCTTAGTTTCTGGTCAATCAGATGGAATTATAAATGAACTAGTTGAACGTTAAGTACAAAAATAATTTAAAGCATATTTAGAAAAAATATATAATAAATTAAAGAAGATGCTCTACGTTTGTACGTAAAAAAACTCGCACGAACTTCTTCCGGCGAAGCTGGTTATATCGTTAACACCCTTCTCCGTACTCACCTGTTTCTCCGAAACGTTTATTTCTAGTTTAAATTTCTCAGTTTTTGCATAGCAAAATAAACATTCAGTGGTTTGTTTGTAGTATACTTAACAACAAATAAATTTCATGTTTCAGCCATACACACATTTTGTCTTGTTAACATAAAAACTGGGATCCAAGTAAACTTGATGTTGATTCAAAAGAAAGTTTAGCTGAAGAATAAATTTTATTCCAGAAAAAAACAAATTACTTTTTATTCGGACTCTCGGTAATGGTTCATTCAGTCCGGATAAGTGAAACTCCACATATAAATAGGTAACATATTTTCACAATTCTCAAAAATAAAATATAGACAAGATGTCTCATTTCTTAATGGTCAAATTCTGGAAGAATATTTAAAAAATTTAATAATTTAAAAAAAAAAAATGTTATTCAATGCATGAGCCGATTTCGAACAGAAAAGGAGTCGAGACTAATTTTGTGTATTCTTTAATTTTTTTTCTTAATATTAGTCGTGTTTATTGTTATTGATAAAAAAAAATCAAACTTCTTAATCTATATATTATGGAAATATGTATCTAGAGATCACTTTTATTTGTTGAAATTTTTTAATATTTTAAATACATTTTTTTTCTGCCTGAATTAGAGACCTGGCCTTCGTTAAACAGAAATTTTGTTTAAGGATTTTTTTTTTTTCTAATTTATTAAAAACATTTTACTTTCGTAAGTGTTTTTTTTTTTGTAATCAGAGGTATCGGGTCATAAGGAAATATCCAGTATAATTGAAAATAGTCAAATATCGACATTATTTTATTAAATCAAAGTAAGTGAACAACTATGGACAATTTATATTTACAAAAAATACAACATTTCTCACTATAAATATACATATCATACAAAAAATGACATCATTTTGGAACATATACATATATACACACACCCGCACACACAAATTTATTTAACAATATTTAAATATACACAATTTATACTTGTAATCAACGATATAAATAAGTAGCTCTCTACATGAGTGTTTGAGTCCATTGAGAAGATGTACGTACATATTTCATTTCACAAACAATATATACATATATGTTTTCACACAAATATATAGTCAAAGGTCAAAAGAAAATGACACTGAGTATTATTAACACATTTAAGTACAAATAGTCCTGAATAAAGAAATGATGGAAAGGTCCCAGAGGTCAGTTAGTGTTCGTCCAAAATCGCAAACTGACCTGTGGGCAAAAATGCGCTATCCAATTCATTCAAAAAGGGAAAAATCGAGGGAAAGAAATGATTTCTTCTTTTTTCTTTCTGTCGGTTTTCCCCTCTTAATAACGTTTTAAATTTATTTTGACTTAGCTTTAACAATAGAGGAACTCTATTCCGAGCCGTTCAAGGCCCGCTTACAACCATACAAAATATACACATTTATCAAATATATAATAATTATTTTTTTATATATCTATATAAATTAAATTAGGGAAAGAGATACTTTTTTTAAGTAAAATCGAATAGGGCCCATGATGGAGTCAGTCGTGGGGCGCTCCCTAGTCCATATTGACTTAGTATTCGACGAAATCACAATATTAAATTATTTACAATATATAATAGGTAGAATCAGTCTGTGGCTAGGCCTGCGGCGGCGATATCAGATACACCCCTGGCTTCAGGTATTCCGATCTTCGCTCGATCCCTCGCCCGGGTTTTCCGCTACCTTCTCCCAACATACTGCAACAAGGAGAAACAAAAACATTAACAAAACGTTTAAAAAACATTAAAATTAATTAATATTTAATTATGCCATCCATATATGAATATACTTCGAACACATCACCATCTCTTGAATAAATACGTCTTTAAGTAACAGCGGGATGGAAACGTTGAAAGGACCGGTCAAGAAGTTGTTTATCAAAGAACAGGTGTATGGAGCGAGATGGCCGCTACAGGTGCCTGCCACATGCTGGGGAGCCCTTCCAGATACCCATCATCTCCCGCCCGGATATAACAGCAACAACCTTTTATCTTAGGCTCCGGTTGTAAGTCTCCTCCTAATGCAACAATCTCTGTACTGGCTCAACATCTGTCTAATAGTCCGACCGCTAACGCAACATGAAGATAATTTCATCAATATCCGCTTTCGAAGAGATATAGAGAATTTAATATTTTAGATTAAAGATTTAGAGATCACTTTTAAAATTACGATTGAATGTAAATAGGAGAAAAATTTATGTTAAACGATATAGTAAAGGTAATTTGTTTATGGTGAAAAATATAGACCGAGTTAAGGTTCCTTTGATCACAGGCCTTCAATAGTAACAGAATCAGGTCCCCACTAGGACCATACAAAATGGAATAGATGGTGTTAGTGGGATGGGAAGAGAGAAGGACGATGGAGTGCCCCGGCCCTACTTTCACATGACAATCCCGCCCTAAATGCCATGCGGTTCGTATGGTAATAGAGTCACACCGGCGTATAAGACCGATTTGGCACTTTCTCTGTAAGCCATCTCCCACACTCATCTGGGCCGTGAGTTACGGTAATCTATTAATATTGGTCCGACTTTTGAAGTTTATTATAAAAATCATGTAATTTCAAAATTAAAAATCTGAATGGCATATCGAATAAAAATAAAATTATAATTTTATAAAATTACAATAAAAAATAATAAAATTGAGATATTCACCTCTGATTGGAGTGGATGGGAGGCGCAGAGTCTAGCGACAGGAGAGACAGCCTCTTGGCAGGTTCCCCGTGCCTCACCAACTCTGTGTTGAGCTGCTTCTGGCTCCTACTCCTCTGAAGTGTGTATACAGGGTCCCAGTTGGTCTCCTCCGGTTCGCTCTTTCCAGACCAGGTATTCTTGATCATGTGAGCATCAGGCCGCTTGGAGACGCTGGAAACGGTGTTGACTTCGTTCTGCCGCCGCGCTTCTTCGTCAGCTTTCCGCCTCTCGATTGTTCTCCTCTGCTTGAGACAGAAGACAACAACTGCTGCGACGAGTACTGCTAAAGGAACGGCAACTGACAGCGTTGCAATGACGAGGATGTGTTCCGTGGAAAGCCCTTCAGCTTTTGTTGCTGTCCTAGTAAGCACTTGACGTGAAATGTTACCCATAGCCCCACCTTCCGAACATACAGAGCCACGAAACTCAGGAGGACAAGTGCACAGAAAACCGTTTACTCTGTCAGAACATGTTCCTCCGTGTTGGCAAGGATTGCTACTGCATTCATCAATGTCCGTAGAACAGTCTTTACCGGTGAAACCTGGTTTGCATGTGCACTTGTAGTCATTGATCAGATTGGCACAGGTGGCTCCATTGGCACAAGGCTTAGCTAAGCAGTAATCCACGGGCTCTTGGCATAGAGGACCGACGAAACCCGGCACACACTGACACTTAAAAGAGTTGGTTCCGTCGATGCAGGTCGCACCGTTGGCACATGGAGACGAAAGACAGTCGTCTATATTAATGTCACAATTACGTCCAGTAAAACCAATCGGGCAAATACACTGTCCACCGGGGCAGAGCTCGACGCTGCAGTCTCTGCTACCATACCCGGGGTGGCACAAGCATAAGAATCCAGTTGCTGTATCTTGGCATGTTCCTCCGTTCAGGCATGGAAGATCTCCGCAGGACAGGCTACTCTTTTCGCAACGTTCACCCTTCCATCCGGCAGCACATTCACATTTAAAGTTGCCTTTTCCTTCCTCCTAAAAAAATTAAACAATGTACGTCAGAGATGTCGAGCATTACAACATTTACAATATAATATATAGCATATAGAGAATAAAACTTACAATGCAAGTTGCTCCGTTTTGACACACTCCTGGTCGACATCCTACAGGCGTTGTCGAAGCTTCCTCACAGTCAGATCCCGCAAAGCCAGGAGGACATGAACAGGTATATGAGCCTTGTCCAGTGTTGAAACAAGTACCATTGTTCTTGCAGGGTTTATGGTTTGTACAATAATTCAAATCCTGATTACAGAAAAGTCCACCCCAACCTTCATCGCAAAGGCACTCCCAGGGTTTCTTGCATGAACCATGAAGACATCCGGGGTAACGCTCGCATTCAGAGCATAACTTGCCTTTCCATCCACTTTGACATCTAGAAAGAAAAAAAAATACTATAAACAACAGGATATGAAATATTAGAATTAAATGTAAAACATAGGAATGAACATGGAACTTATAAGCTATCAGTTACGAGATAAAAGGATGATGATTAATGAAAGACAATTAGTAAATAAAGAGATGAAGCTTGTTCTATGACAATGAGAATTCTAATGAATTGTAGTGAAAGATATTTTAAGTAGCCTCTTTCTTGAATCGGGCTCTCCGGAGACGTAATGACGTCGAGGAGGGCATTAGTGGGGGACAATAGAGTGACTTTATAATTATATGGGACTGGAACCGTCCCTGGCCGATGGTGGCCAAGTCCGCTGGGATTGTCTATACGATCACAATGCTTTCATTGTCCGGTCGGGGAGGCACAAAGAGTGTAATACAGCTAATCAGGGCTGAGCACAATGCGTGGGGAGGGGAGGTCGCAGCCCGGAGGGATCGTCGCTGAGGAAAAAAGACCGACTGGAAAAGGAAAAAAAAGAAAGAAAAGGAGGAATGAGTCCTAGAAACCCTTTATGTTCTTCAACAGGAGTAATGGTGTTTCGTCATTGTCACTAAAGCTACCGACCGACATCTCTACCTGTAGCTACCTCTTCCTCTTTCAATTGATTAACCGTTTCATGATTGGCTGTCATGCATCCGTTGAGTACATCAAAAATTAATAAATTAATAATAATAATAATAAAGAATACGAAGTATTTATATCAATGAAAAAAATAAGTTTTTCTAATTTTTCGTCACTAAAAAAATCAGAAATACTAATTCAAGAAATGTCCAATATAATTTAGAAAAGCCAGAGAACAGTCTTAATCGGAAACAATGCTGTAAACATTCGATAGCCAATAGAAGCCATATTTCAGAACTAGTAGTTACAACCATAAAAGGAAGAATTGTCCCTGGCCTAGATAGAATAGAACGAAGTGTGGAATAAAATAGTGCGCACAAGAGTGAAGAAGTTCAACACTCCTTTCTCTTGACCAGACTGTACACGATGGAGAGGAATTATGTGTAATTCACTTAATGAGGCTGCGATATGGACTCATGAACAAGGAAATCGCAGGCTTGTTAGTGCCATGCAAGGACTCTGGGATTCAGCCGCTTCTTCATTCAAACACATCGTTTCGAAACTTACTTATTTGAAAATGTTATACATACTCATTAAGTATGTAGAAATAAATTGAATTTATTGCAAGCCTTGAGCATAGATATAGTACTGGAATTATATATAATTAAACAAAGTTTGTCAAAAAATTAAAAATGAATATTATTAATGTGGAATAAACTATATTTTAATTAAGTTAGAAAAAAAATTCTAATTCAAAACAGTTTAAAACAATAATGTTAACGAAAAAAAAACGTTAACCACAAAACTTTGCGGAAGAAAGATAAACACCTTTTATCGCTCATTAAAGTCACTTCCAGTAACTTTAACGGTGGGTTAAGAGGGAAAAGAAGGGAAGATGATGGTTGGAAATTGGATTTTACAAGGAAGCTTCTCACAGAGACGGGAATGAGAAAGAGCGATTGGGAAGAAGAGAGAGACAGAGGAACGAAGAAGATGCAGGAGGCTGCTAGCAAGAGAAGAGAGAGAGAGAGTGAGGCCTCCTGCGCAGAAGAGAGAGGGAGAGAGGTGATTGATTGAGCTGGTTGTCCCACGGCAGAGAGAAGGAGTGGGGGAACGGAGGTTAGCCTGTTCTCACGACTGCCTCTCCTACACTCCGACCAGTCTGAGCACTCCTGACCAATCCTCTATTAGATTCCTATATACAAACTCATCCTTAGCTGCATATTTGCTATTGCATATTTCAATAAATCACACCTCACCGTCTTAATCGAATTACTCTTTACGAATTATATCAAAAAATGCATAATTATGGAGACCTCATTTAGTTAGACCTCATCAATCAGAATCATACTTAAATAATGAGGAAAGAATTGAAAATAAAAATCTTAAGTCATTTTACCACGTTCTGTAAAATAGTATAAAGAAAGATGAGGTGTTTCACGGGTAGCTGACTCAGCAGGGCAAGAGTGACTCCTGCTTCTTTTTATTCGACCCTAACCTTCTTAAATTACGTTTATCTGAGAAGACAGTGGTAAATCACGAACAACAGATTATCCTACTGTAACAATATTACCTTGTCGGACATGATCGAAAATAATTCTGAAACAAGTACATAGATCTTCTGACAGACCTTTGACATTTGATCTGAACATGGCGAAGGGAATGGGGCTAGAAGAAGTTGAGGACAAGTAGAAAGCTTCTTCCTTCTCAATTAACTAGAACCGTCTCTAATCAGAGAAGACAGTAGCCACTCTAATGTGGCTGGGAACCGCCATTCGCTCACATTGTCTTTTTCATCTCACCATCTCTTGTTCAAGGGGCCTTATCTCAAGACTTTATCTCGCTACTTACTTCACTGCCTTTCTACTGAACCCATAAATATAACTTCAAAGGTAGATTTTAAATCTATCAACTTAATTTAAAAAATGAAATATAAAGATAATACTCACAGGCATTCGTTGGGGTTATTGCAATGTCCATGAACGGAGTCACAACCAGGCAGGCACTTAGCTGTAAAAAAAATATTATATATATAAAACATATAATAAGTAAGTTCAGTCAAATTTTAGAATAATTATAGATTATCATACATTTATCTGGGTGTAAAATTCAAATATAATATATTAAAAAAAGAAAAGAAAAAGTATATCCAATGAAGGTAACGAGATTTAAAAGTCCTTCTCATTCTTAGATGCTCGCAATCGTCGGGGTATAAGAGGCAAGATCCGAGCTATCCCGTCCCCTCTCCTTCCACTCCGTGTCTTTCCTCCCGCATTAGATTATGTCAATTAATTTAAGCTATCGAATTGAATAAAGCGTTAAACGGAATCGAATTATTTAATAATAATAATTAAAATAATATAAAATGAGAATTAGACGGTATAAAATAAACAGCTAACCATGCTAATTTTTTAGCACATTTGTAAAAAAAAAAATTGTACGAATCTATATTTCTTCTAATTGGTATGTTAGTTTGGTATAATACAGAAAAATATTCCGTAAGGTTATACAATACATTGTTCTTATGTCTTTAAATGTTCATTCGTCTACAAGGGGATTATTAAACTACAAATCCTTACTTAATACTTTAAGCTTTCATTCAGGATTCCTTTTTTTAGCCAAGAGGTATGAGTAGGTAATATTCAATTATTTGTAAAAATAATTGTGATGTTAATCCTAAATCTACTAAAAATCGTTATTATGAGATTATTGCAAATATCAATCATTGAGCAAGATTACTGGATTGGAAGGAAAAACACAGGAGTTCAGTAGACTGGTATTCAGAGGTAAACAAAATTATATCAAATTAATCCTTTAATATAATAAACAGATAATCAAAATTTGCAAAATGGCAGTAGTATTTTCTAATTTCAAAATGGTTTCGATGGTTAAGATAATGACGATCATCTGGAATGATATAAAAATTATTCAAATTAAAGAGGCCTTAAACGATGAATTTATAGGTAACCATCTGGGACGTGAATTTATGGCTTTATAATGGGAGAACGGGTAGTGTTAAGTACCTATTTATTGGTATAGGCCGGTTTAATGGGAGCCTACTGACGACTATCGGCATTATAGCTCTCTTCTCACGCCAACGAGGCCTGGTTGACCTCCTTCGTCGGCGAATCTGGTGCAACGCCCCTAAACAAATTTACGCCCGCTTTCACTGACTTCCGAATCACTTTTCCGTCTGGAGGCTTGACATGTTTTTGTTTAAAAAAAAAGTAAGACGGGACGTTAAGTTATAATCGGAAAGATTTCGACAATACATTCACTAAAAACAAAGCGAAGAACTCATCGCTCCATGGGATCCAATCTTACAGTGGAAGAAAAGAGATGTAACACTGGTAAAGAAGGTTGTGATCAAACAACTGATCAGCGAGAAAAAAAAATTAGCTAGATTTATTAGACTTATTCAAGATGTTCAATGTTTCAGAATAAAAAGTTCTATCTAATCTAAATTTATTCACTTAGTCCTATAATTAACAGCATTATCTAACTTCTCTGCAATAAACAGAGTCTAAATATTTCTTTTAGAGCTATTCACATCTTTCTAAAACACTCGACCGTATCATAAAAATTCATGTTTGAATGTATTAGAGTGTTGAGTAAATGCAGTATTTTGTTAATATTCCTGCAATGGTATAGACGCTGTTATATTAATTCACCTTCCTTCCAGTATGCGATTCGATGTCATGGAGTGATGTTTTAATTCCAGTCTGATAATGCCCGAATTGGGGAAACGTCTACAGGTTATTTTATTCATTACAAGCTTTAAGAGATACAAGGCTGTTGGATTTTTTTTTTCAATTATAACATAAAACGGATTTTCTGTCTCTTGGTGAGTTCTTACTCGTTTGGATTAGTCATATGAAATCTTTGATTTTTGGATTTATTTTTTTGTGGTGGATTAAGGAATAACTTCCGTGATGACCTTCAGCATACACATATATATGGTTATGACTTTCTACCCGACGATATATAGGAGGGATGACGTCAGAGCCGGCCGCCTGAACTAGTTTCATTAGTAAGCTAGAGGTGAATGAGAGAGGCTTGGTAGCCAAGTTGTGGAGGGGGCGTGGGAAAGGAGTCAGCTGGGAGCCGGCCAACCTCCTCTTACCTTCTCACAAACCGAGTCTGTTTACCTTAGCCTCCATACCTTACCCTTTTCTTATCGGCAGGTGGGATTTTCTTAAAGGCTGCGCAGTTGTCAGTCAGAGTAAACATATAATTATAACGCAATTAGAGAAGAAGCTCGCTAATTTAAATTCAATAATGACCTATACGATATGCAAAACTGCGCCTTAATGTGTAAAGGGAAAAAAAAGTTGTGCCTTCATTTGACCTTTCTCGCTTATGGACCGACAAAAAAAACTGATATTTATTGGTTCGATTCCGTTAAAGGCTACCGAATCCCAAGATGGGTAAATCAACCTGATTTTTTTTTTCATTAAAACCAGCACATCCCAGTAATGCGTCTGATTCAGAGGCGCTGGGATCTTCTAGAGTCCTGCCTTTCCTTCCTCGAATGAGAAGAAAGGCTTAGATCTTGGGTGAATGATTTTTTTTTCTTATACATATTTTATAGAAGCGTGTGTGTATGTGCGAAGTTGTTTTTATTAATTTATATACATTTACTTTTAGTATTATTGTTTTTTGTTTATTATTTATTGTTGATAGAGCGTAAATGTGCTCTCTGAACACTATTATAAATGTCCTTATTTGTGACAGATTGTAATATCTCTCAATAAATATAGTTAGTTAGTTATAAATTAGGTATAGAAAGTAGGTTGTTTTTAGGTAAAGAAATGTGACGCGTATCCTACCGTAATTTTAATTTATTTTATTAGTCAATTACACTACACACTAACTGTTTTTTTTTTCTTTGAACATTTCTACTATAATGTCCATTATATTCTGAAGCGTTATTAAAAAAAAAAAAAAAAAAAAAAAAATCCAATCACCAGGAAGGGTGGTCACTATTTTGACTCGGAGCCAAAGGCTTCTCCTTTCATATGTATGGGGATGTAAATTTATAGGAGCTATCTTCCATATTTTGTATTTTTTTCTCCCTTTATGAAATATTAAAAATTTTCTAGTTTAAAAAAAAACAGCACAAATCGAACATTTTTTTTCATTAATTGAAATATAAATAAGTCATTTCCTCTTAATGCAATAACAAAAATAATAAAACTTTGTTAATCATTTATTCTTGTTCAATAAAGAATTTTTTCTTCTTATTTTTTCCTTTGTTGCAAAATTTCTTGTTTTTCAATTGAAGTCAACGATCATAATTTTCTTGTAATTGTTATTTTTATTATTAGCTACATTTGTTTAACGTTTAGAAAAAATGTTCATATATTAGAAAGGTTATTTATGGTTGCTAAGTTCTATTTTTATTTTAAATAACAATCACAAGTATAATTAACAATTTCACCGATACATTTTTTTTGTGTCACCAAATTTAGTTAAGTAAATTTTATTTATTTATTATTATAAAAACAAACTATTTAATATTTATTCGATAGTCCTATGTTCATAACCAACAAGATTTAAAATTTGATACTACAGTTTTTATTTTTATTTTCTATAATAGATGGGTTGATATTTTTTAGAAGGTACTGAAATGGTTTTATTTTATTTTAGGAATTTGCTCACAGATACAAGCTAAGCATTAGTGTCAAATCTGAATCTTTAGTGTATTTTATAAATTAGATTAGTGTTGTTTTATTTTGTACATTGTTATTGCGATTTCATCAATATTTTTATTAATCTTTAAACAAAAGAATAAGCAAGTTCACCTGATAAAAAAATAACTATCTACTTAAACACTTATTAAAACTTTAATTAAACACTTATTCTCTTCAATCAAAATTAAAAAGAAAAAAACTATAATTACGTTCCCATGATCGGTGCGGAAATAACGGAAAAAAATTACCGTTTATATACAAAACAAAAAAATAATTCACCGTTAATATTTTTTTTTAAAAAAAGTCTCATGAACATACGGTTACTTCTCAATAACAATAACTTTGTATTTCAGATGAAAAAAAAAAAAAAAACAATTAATTACTAACTCATTACTATGATACAGGATGCACTCTATTTTTTCCAAGAGAACCCTTTACAAAGTTTACGTTGTACTGTTAACTTTTGATAAGGGATTCCCATGGGGCCCAACCATTAGAAGAAAGAAAATGGGAGAATGCATATAAGTAATATAAATTAATTATTCAAGTTGCGTCCTCGTGACCCGCTTCCTGTGAGAAACTCCGTCTTCGGCGCGTAGCGGCAGAGGTGGGGAGGGATTTTCATATCGAAGAAAATTTACTAGGCGAAAATATTAACGATATATGTTATAGGACATTATATGGCATAGCAACGCATAAAATAATGTTATTGAGTGTGACAATAAGATCAAATATAAGTAGTAAGTGGTCTTAATGAAGTATTATATTTATACCTCACGATTGCAACTTTATTATTACTTTAGTGGAAGCGATCGCTTAATTGAGATGAATGAAAGGGATACATCAGAGTGTAGTCTTAAACTATTCACAAAATATTTCCGCGAAAAATCACTTAATAAGTATAACTAAGATATTTGTTTTATTATTTAATATTATATTTTTTTTTATTAAATTTGAAACTTACGTTGGGAGCAGTAGTCGCCTGTCCAACCTTCGGTGCAGATCCTCTGCCCGGAGTCTGAGCATGTGTAGTGTCCGAAGTTGTCGTCCCTAGGCCTGCAGACAGTGGCGCACCCGGGCCCGTAATAATGGGGCTCACAGGTGACCCTGTACTCGTAAGTAACAGGGCCTTCTGTGCCCCCCGGGCTCCATTCGGGCCCCACTTCCAGGAACCTCTGCGTCGTCAGCCTCGAGATCAACCGCTTACTCGCTAAAAAAAAAAAAGGAAATCAATTAAAATAAATTTTAAAAAATGGTACAATAGTATTATTTTATATATAAAAAACTGACCATAAACATTAAGTAATAATAAAAAAAAAAGTTCGCAACCCAGTTCTCTGAAGTTGGCAAAATTAAGCAGCACTTGCTCTACCACCCCTTGGACCATATTTTACATCGCAGGTACCAAACCCTCAGGTATATAATAACCACAGCCCTCGGAAATATAATAAAGATAACTAACATTAACCACTGTTATTTCCTCTTTCGCAACGAATCATTTATAACGAGCTGTGTCGAGTGATTACTGTAATTCATTTTATTAAGCTTTATTAACGATAAATAAAAAAATAAAAAAAATAGCAAGAGGTAACTATCTAGGAGCACTCCAATTTTATCGAGAAAATTGAACCAGCCTTCCCGGATCATATTTCAACTTGACAACCACAACAAAACAGTGTGAAAGATAAAATTCCTAACGCACTAATGAATCGAATAAACTACAGACAAGAGGTAGATAAATATCGAAAATTACTCTACTTTCAACACTAATTACAATTCCGTATTTCCAGGCACGTCCAGGTGGCGAAAGAGATCTTGAGGACATTTGTCATCTTCATGTTAACGTTACTCATGAATAACAAAAAGGGTACACGATACACGATAAGGTATGAGTCCGGCAAGATCTCATCGACCAATGGATGTACACTTATGTTAATCGAAAAATAATTAACGATATGAGACCGATAGGTGTAGTTGTGTTGTCTCGATCTTTGAGTTGGGAATACCAACACCTGCTTAATTGCTTATCATAGTTTGAGATCCCTGTATTAGTAAACCGCTTAAGAAAAATAAAGCTTTTTTTTTTTTTTTTTTTGCTTTTTGTAATTTATATATTTTTTAATTGACGTGTATTTACTTAATGCAATTTGCTTACAATTAAATTGACCGACTCTAATGTATGGCTGCATGCTAATAAAAAACTCCTGTTATATAATTCTACCTTTTTATAATTTAAATTAACATAGAAGGTATCCTTCTTAATTTAAAAATTTTGAATGTTATTTTTTAATTTTTTTATCACACTATGCATTTATTTTAAGAACAAGTTTCTACGATGGATTTTCTTGGAGAATTATTTTTTGTAAGCGCTATGTTTCTTTGGTTTTAAGCAATAAAAATCCATTCGTTTTTTAAATATTAAAAACAAAAAAAAATGTTTACTTGTTTAATAACTATTCTAAAATTTTAAATTTTTGTTATCATTGTACATTACATATTTTATTTTGTTTAATTTATTTTTTTCTTTAGAATAATGGAGTTATGAGAAATAATGCAATGATTTATTTTTCTTTTCTATTTTAAAAAATTGTATAAAAAACAAACTTAGGACTGACATTTCAATATAATTATTAAGCTATTTCTAAATCGTACGAGTGATTATCCAGGCTTTAAAAAGGTGGAAGGGTTGGGAGGAAAAACTTTTTATTGTAGATCTTCGAAGCAGAAGGTTCGTGGGAACTGTCTGATAAGACCAAGCTTCGCCGCATACCTTTCGACATAGCCGCACAACGCACCGATGTGAACTACCCACCGCATTTATTAAGTAGATTGTAAAAAGCCTGGTCCGTTCCACGAGTTACGCGTGACTCGAAAGAATATTGATTAAAATTATTTAAATCCATTTTATTTATCTGTTCGTTTATTACAGACAAATAATTAAATTAATATATCAAATGATAAAAAGACGAAACTGTGTATTAAAAAAAAAAAAGGGACATTAAAAACTTCTTGGAGCTTCACCATGCAGAATCTTTTTTCTCCTTTTATTTTTTTTTATTTTAAAGTTTTTTTTCAATTTTTTTTACTTGGCGAAGAGCAGATAGGAGATGGGATATCGTATAACATATTAGTGGGACCGAAAAGGTGATAAATCAAACGATGTCCTTTCCTATCCTTGGCAGGATCGAATGAGACATTGGACCCTTTCCTGGACAGACAGGCGGCAGTCGAAGAAAAAAAGAGGATTTTTTTCTCTCTCTGCTTTCAGAGTGCGATAAGGTGTTAATTAAAAAGAAAGACAAAGGCATCTCAAGGGATTTAGATTACTCTTAAGTAAAAATCAAACTTAATACTCCAAATGTATTTGGCAAAATTTGTGTTTGTTAAGAAATATATACATATTAATATAACTGATATTTTAAAAGTAACCAGTTATTTCTGAAACAAAATTAACTATGACATATACACACTTGCAAAATTATTTTATTTTATTTTTTAATTTGGATCTAAGGAAATGCGAACGGAAATATCAAGTTGAGTGCATTGTTCAATTTATCTGTATATCAATATCTTAAAGGAATTCTTTAGGTTTAGGAGAAAAGTGGCAAAATTAATATTTATATTGCACATAAAAAAAATGGGTATGCAGAAGCAGGAGCAAGACAGGAACTGAGTTAAGAAGATTATACCCTTGAGTCAGAGCGCCTCTAACTGGCCCATTGGTATCCACCAAGAGGCTATTAATATAGACGTAGGGTACTTTCCCACAGGGTCCCCCTCCACCTGCCCCACAGGTAATCCCTTCTCTTTGTCTCTTCCATCCATCTCTTCTTGTCATCCGAGACGGCAAAAACTCATCCGCGACCTGCCCCAAACCCTTCAACTTCGCAGTAGTTATAGATATCCCGGTATCTTGGACATGTGAAGGTTTCCCAAACGGATGTTTAGCTGATGTTCAAGTAAATTGAGATACTACTGTCTCTCTCTCTCTCTCTCTCTATATATATATATATATATATATATATATATAGTCTTTTATATATATATATATATATATATATATATATACGAATATATTATATATATATTTTAAATTATTAAGTCTTGAACAAAAAGGGAGCCATAACCAGGATGACCTAAACATAAATCACCGACGGAGGTGGCACAGATTCTGTATCTATTATTACTAGTAGACGAAAATTGTGGCTCGGATCCAAATACACTATAGAGATGGACAGCCGAATATCGCTAAGGCGGTCGACAAATGGAACGCAAGCCGCGACTACCGATTTCAACGCCTCTCTCCCTCCCCCCGTTCACAATTGGATACGATTCCAGACTCGATTAGGTCCGATTTGAAAAAGTCTATTCCGTGCCGGGCTATAACCCTAACTAATCGATAATGCTGTACGTGAGCCGTCAAACAGACCAAGGGACATAAAGCACAACTCTTCCTTTCCCTTCCAGATTGGATATGAAAAAAAAAAAAAAAGAGAAAAAACAGATGAGTTAGATAGAGAAAGCGTTGCTCAGTATTAGTCCGATTCGACAATATTCATGCAATGCACAAAAAAAGTATGTTTTACGTTTACTTAAGAACTAGGATATGTCATTTAAGGCGCACAACACTGAACTTTACAAGAATGAATCCTACGAGTATCCTATTAAGGATTCCATTAGCGGAATGAATGGGGAGACCATTTATGAATGAATAGGTTTTTGCCAGGGCGTGACCAGGTAGTGCAAGGGCGGTTTAAAGGGATAAGAGATATTGGGACCATGTGTATAAGGAAGCGGAGGCGATGCGTGAACTCTGCCGGGACTTCCTTCCTGGACACCCGATCCATGGGACAAGGACAGAGGCAGATAAACGTAGGAGAGTTCCCACAGGGTCTATGTCAACAGGGAGCCCTACGGTTTTGTTTGCACCGCCCTTCCTTCCTTCGCTGCATTCACAAGGGAAAGGGCCGCTTTCCCGGATAGGAAAAGAGGTTGTAAGCAGCTCTTCTCACTATTTTTCTGTAGTTAATAATAAATTTAAAAAAAGAAAAAGTCAGTAGCTAACTAAAGACTAAAAAAAACATTCCCCCTCCCCTCTAACCCTCCAGAAAGTTTATTAAAACACCATCAAAAAGTGATAAGAAGCTATATTCAAAAGTTTAAGATAAACTCAACGGGTTCGGTTTTAACCAAAGCATAAATATTATTTCAAGCAAAATGGTAAAATAATTGTAAAGAAAAAATATTTATCCTAATTACGATACATCTCCTTGTATCCTAAAGCAAATCAAATACTATTTGTTTTACAGAATTAAAAAATAAATATTTTCAACTTTTAAAATAGAAAAATTTAGGTTTAAGTATGTTGTATCTGATAATTGACTGTTTTAATAGATCAACTACCAGTATTGGTGTGATGAAATTTGTTAATCAAAAACCAAAAAAAAAATTCAAAATTTTATATTTTAAGACGAATCTCCGATTTTACAATGTCCTTATTTAAACTAACCTGGTATACTTTAGTTAAGTATTAAAATATCTTAAAAATTGTAAACAGAATCTCATATTTATAATATTGGAAATATATTTGTTTCATTGAAAGCATTCCCAATGAAATAATAACGATGATGAACTCCAAACTTTTACAACACGTCAGACTGATTTAGAAAAATCAAGGATACAGATTACTTAATGACGGTTTCAGACATCATCTTTTGGATCATACTGACAACACATCTCAAGCTACTTTATTCCATACACCACTAGGCTATTTAAACTTTTTTTTTGCTCTTTTTCTTAATGACTACAGTAAAATATTTCTTTCACACGAGAAAGAATCGATCTGAAAGACAAACGGAAGGACAGTCACTCTGGGATCAGTTGGATAGGATTCCAAGCATTGACGCACGCACTCCGGCCGCGCCGCGAATCCAAAGTCGTCCGTTACCCCATCGACCAAGCTGGTAACTAGAAACTGTTAAATTATTAATAGCACACAAAGCTGGAGTCTTTCTAACGAGCTGTGGGGCTCCTTTTTTTTTTTTCTTTTTTTTTTTTTTCTAGTGGATATTTTTCACCAAGGACAGAGACCCTGATTGCTTACCTTGCGACATTACAGGAAAATGAAATTTAAATCCCCCGGCCTATTCTATTGTTACAACAGATAAATAAGGTTTATTTTAATAGAACTAGTGAGAGGATCACTTCATATACGCACAGACACATAAACAAGACTTAAATAAAGTGTATTTATTATAAATTAATTTATCAGTTTAAAAGGAGATTATATATTAAGATATAAGGTGAAAAAACCGTAATCATACTTTACAATATTTTTTAAGAGACCATTATTATTTAAGAAATAATTAGAGGAAAACAAATTTTAGAAATTCGCAGAAAAAATAATTATCCTTTTTTAATAGTTTGAAAAAAGCATCGGAAAGTCAATGGACCATTTATGTCATCGGTTGTTACATTTTAGTTTTGTAATTTTTTTTGGAAATGCTTTATCACTACATACAATTTAGTATTTTTTCTTGATAGTTTACGATGCTTTTAGAACTAAAATTTTACTATAAGAACATTGTATTAAGCTTTTTTAACTAAAACTCAATGAGTTTTTTTTTTTATGTGATTTAAAATTTTCTACCACACAATTTCTGGACCTAAATTATTTTACCTTTAACCCTTTTCTGTTTTGTTTTTAATAAAAACTAGGTGTGGACTGTTTTTTTTTTTTGTTTTTTTCAGAAACGTTTAGATCATTCGATTCGGCTTCATTAGGAATAGAAGGTGGCATAAAAATCAACACAAATGGAGTTATAATAACGTTTTTTTCCCTGACCCCTTCGTATGCTTCATGTACTCCTTATTTCTTATAGAGTATCAATGGATCGGTTTTTTTTTCAGGTCCCAACTGCATATTTTAATATTCGAAACCCAGGACTTATGAGTAACGAGAATAACTTATTTCGATTCGCCGTGCGCCCAAAGAGGTTGCGTTGTAGAAGAAGTTGAGGAGCGAGGGCCACCGCCCCCAGCCGGAATACGAAAGGAGGATAGACATCTCCAAGAGTCACTTTGTATTCCTCGGCGAAGAGCACGCCATCGTGACGGACCAATTAGCCTCTGCTGTGCCCACACGAAAAAACAACTTAAAACTAATAAAACCCCTCTCGACTCCCCCTTGATTCCCTATTCAAAGCCGGTTCATCCCGTGGACTGGATAACAATAACCTCTATGCAAATCGTCTTCCCTAACCGAGAGCCTAAATAAAAAGAGGGGATAGTGGGAAAAGGTACTCGGGGCAAGATGGCTGGTCTCCCGACGAAGCAGAGATCTTATCTGCTAAGTTATTCTTAAACCGTATTTACCAACGACGGAGAGAGACAAATCAGTAATAAGGGCCACGGTGTAAGCTGAGGAATACGAATGACCCTACGTGGGATATTTACTTATTTTTCTTAAAGTGCAATTAACTTTACATAAACCTACAACAGTAAGACATGGGCGTATCATCATGGGTCACAAAGAACGACAAAACTAGACCTGAATATATTTTAATGTAAATAAATGTAATACTGATTCATTATCATATGTTCTGCAAATGTTATCACAAAAAATAAAATTAAAAATTAAAATCGTGACTTACCGGAAAGAGTCGATGATGAGTTATTGTCGTGCCAGGCCTCGACGATTAAGGAAAACGTGCCCTGAAATAATAAAAAAAAATATAACATAAATAATATAATTGTGAATAATTTTTTATAAAAATAATAAAAGTGCCAATAAGATATTAAAAAAAAAAAAACCGAAATAGGACCGATACAATGTCTGAAATGAGCTGCGAATAACTGGTGAGTCTACTCCTGGCGGCTGTCCGTCCGCTCATGTACCCTTGTTCTAGCGTAACATTCCAATAATAGCGATGGAATGGTGCGTCTTGTCTGCCAGCCACGTAAGAATTTTATTCCCATCATTATATTTTTAGAGGATTTTGAATAAACCTACTAGATGGGAAAGTTACCAAGGTCGAATGTTCAAAAATAATAATTAACAAAGTGTTCACATAAATTGAGTGTGTTTATCTATAAAATGAACAAAAAAAAAATAATAAAGGTTTTTAAAATATTCTAATAATTTGCATAAGTTACAGTAACCGAGTGGGATTAGCAAATAAATGAATAAGTAACGATGTGTTTAATTCAATGAGATACAGCTCAACAGTCTTAACATTGAAAGAGCTCGGTCACCCCATGACCTTGGTCACATTTCAAAATATGACTTCCATTTGGTCCACACAGAGCCGAATGAGGTAACTTGGGCGGTCTCGAGAGCTGAGCGGTTGCCAAGTGCGCCCTGCCAGTTTCGGAAGTGGAATGATTCCGATTGGCCATCACAGGGTTCGTGTGCCAATTAATCATGACTCCCGTGAGCCAATCAAAACCGTTCTTCTTTCGTAACCTCTCATCGTTTCAGAAGCGTGACCGATGATGACCTTTGATGTCGACCGCGGCAGAAACCATGATACCCGTACCAGTACTTCCTTTCGAATGAGATTCTCCCCTGTTGGCCAATAACCGAAGGAACAACTGTGCCGAATTACTCGGGGTGTCGTGGGTTAGATAGGATCTGACTCCAGTAACTAAACAATGTTCTGATAAGTACAAAATACAAGTTGTAATCAAGTTATCGTTTTCATGACCCAGCGGTCGGTTATTTTTGATTTGCACGAAAATAATCATCATTTTGCAATGTAACTTCTCAATAAATAAAAATTTAACTTGTATTGAATATTTCTAAACATTATGGACATTGGTATACTCCAAAAGAATTCAACAATACAAAGCGTTATTCAAGAACAATTAAACCAATAATCTAGTTTTAAAAAAAACCTGAGGGATCTTCCTGGCATGCTCCCAAAAAAGGTATTTCCATCAATTATACGCGAAAAACTGTTAATTGTTAAAAATAATTGTTCCGAGGGTAAAAGGGCAGGATGTTTTGGTACGAAGCGGATAATCGGCACCTTGGGCCTATGATTACAAGAATAGTGGAGGGCCAGTGACAGGTAATGTTAGTTCACATTGACGTCTTGGCCAGCCGTCCTGGGAAACTGGGCCTTTTAATTGTTACAGATCCGACCTTTTGCCCCTGCGCCTCCACGGCCTATAATTATCTGCCAAGAATTTCACCAGGTACACTTTTCTCGATCCCTAAACGTCTTTGTTCATGAAAAAAGAAATCTTAAAACGGCGATTTAGTAAAATAAATGTTTAGTTGTATTGTTACAAATAAGGATAAAGATACATAACTGTTAGTTAGCCGTGCGATAGCTTATGATGAAAATATGTAAAAGAGGTTGTAGATGCAGAAAGTGAAGGATGAGTTTGCTTTCAGACAGAGGAGGGCCTTGCCCCCGGACGACAAGGAGGACTCCGGTCGATCACAGAAAGTAAAAGTGCGTTGAAAACGGATTAGAGCCGGACTCCATTGTGCCCGCTACCATCCTCTTGTGGGGAGTCCATTTTATCATCCTCTATGCAGATCATATTGTCTCCCCTCCTCAGAGGAGTTTTCCTTCATCTTATGGCTGCATTGTATGCTCATCATCATGGGAACTTGTATGATGAAGGTACTTGGGTGTAAGTCAGAGAAAGTCCCATCTTCCTTCTGTCGATGCTAAGTGCATTCCAGCTGAATTCAGGGAGCGTATCGAATGATAACTACTGAATAGGAACGGTACCATAAACGTCAGTAGGCGGTAATGGACAAGTATAGGTTTACAACCGTAAGAAATCTGTTACCTACCTGAAGCTACTGGTCATGTTAGGACGTCTGAACAACCGACTTGTCATAAAAGTGACCTCAGTAGCAGTCAGTCCTGTCGTCGCGGTAATAAATCCTCAATGTCACCATTGTCTTCTTTATTTTTCGACAAGTCAGTTCCTGTAATTTTTCTTAGCGATTTTCAACGGAACCTAAGTGTTGACCTGAGCGTTTTAAATCAGACATTTCTTCTATAAGTATTGTGCAGTTACACAAGCTATTCTAAAAAAAAAATATTAAAAAAAAACGTCGAATTTTAAACCCTTTTACAAAAGTTTGAACTAACTTAGATTTCAGAAGTCTCTTCAAACCGACTCTATTCAAGTCACTCGAGAGAAAAAGACTTCGTATTTCAAAAGCCACAATCAGCTTCTACAGAAATAAAATGGTTATAAATAGAAAAATATTTTCGAGGCCTAACAAGCTCGATCTTTTTAAATACTAAATGAATAATTTGTAAAACTGAAACGGAATGTAAACTGTTCATAACTATACTTACTATTTATTTATATGTTATATATTTTTAAATCTAAAATTGAAAACAGCTAACCAATTGCGAGGGATCAATATTATTTTAATATATGTGCATTAAATATTAGTAATTTTGAAGACTTGTTGAATACGACAATATTCCAAGAAATAATCAACGAGATGACAGTGTATTGGTATTGAACTTCTATGTTCGCCAAAACTTCTTACTATCATCAGATAAAATACCAGAATAGTAAGCGAATCAAAAAAATATATATTTTTTCAATATACATGAATAGGTAATGTCGATATAAAAATTGAAATTAATTTTAGTTCAATTAAAGGCTGTATTATAAATACAAGTCATTGAACCTATCATAGTGTTGTGTAAGAATCAATACTTAAACGGGATTATTCCGTTATTTAAAGATAAACTATTAAAAATCACATATCAATTTAGTGGTATTTGTTAACAATTTACAGTTTTTTTTTTAATATATAAAATCACAAGAACACTTTTAGTGTGTGTCCAGGATGGTAAAGAGTCTTTAACGAAAACAAATTTGATTATTAAAGAAAAATAAAATAAAATAAACAATATATGAAATCCATAACAATCCTAGTAAGGATGGAGTAAAAAACATGTACACGATAATGGTGGACAAAGGGACATGATAGTATGGTGTAGGCAATGAGACAGACTACAGAGAGGGAGAGTGTCACTATATATATCTGAGAATCGGGTCCCGGGCCAGAGGCCGACGAGGCGTCGGCTAAAAATAATATCATAACAGACACACTCCGTTATTTAAGGCCTGTACTTGAAAACTCTACTTGTACAGTCTAGTAGTTGCCTAGTACCAAGGCCTTAACACAACTTCAAAACATTACCTTTATATTTTGGTACCACAAGTAAGTAGACCTTGTCAATGTGAAACATCATGGATTCGGATGATCCATAAATCCAGTACACATCCGGTTTTATTTATAGTTACTAAATCCTAAACCTATGCTATACCATGCTTGGTTAGATTCCAAAACAACAACATATCTAACATAAACGTAAAGGTTGAGGAATCCAACAAAAAGGGAGAAAGGATTCACAGATAATGAACAAATAAGATAAGAGAGAAAATGCCATCACACCTTTTTAAGGCGACGATTGGAAGATAAAACTTTTATCTTAGCCTATTTAAGAGATGTGAACTTCTGCCAAGCAACTCCGACATTTGTCTGGAATGTCCTTGCCTCAACGAACACTTTCGTAAAGTACCCGTAAAACTCTAGTGTTCTTAAAACTCAGACTTTATCAAATTCGTCTATAGATAAATATTTTGACTGACTTAAATAAAGTGAATCATTCTTTTTCTTTTTCTAACATTCAGAGTATTTCTTATTCTTATAACGACATTAAATATAAAAGTAGAGTAAACCTAAATAACAGATACTTTCACGGAGGAAACGTTTTACGAGATGGTAAAAGAAGGACCCTTAGCCAACATCTTAACTACAGAAGAAAGTGGTAAAGAAACGGCCGTTGAAGAGCCGAACAATGGGGTCAGATATGCAAATTACAATGGACGTTCCTCGCTTGGACAAGCTGCCAACCGAAATGTAGCCCTCAGTTTGATATGGGTTGGAAAAGACAAGAAGAAAAAAATAAACAACAAAATAATGGATGTAGAGAAAAGAAAACGAGTCTGTCCGATGCCATTTTGAGATCGAACTGTATCGATCTGGCAGGGGCTGTCAATGGGAATTAATTTATCCGAGAACGGAGCTTCGACAAGTTTCAACATCGGCCAAGCTGTGCCTTCCAGTTCTGAAAATAAAGATGAAGCACACACACGGCTTGTTTGACATCTTGCCAGAGTCATTTCAGAGATCACCACTATCTTGACAACAATCGAATGTTATCCGGTCAGAAATATACTACTATAGGTTCTAATACCATATTTTTTTTAGAAAATATCACCTTTACTTAAATAAAAATAGAGATGTAACACACTTAGGCGACAAAAAATTACTCTAAAGAAATTTATTTACTGTTTTAACATCTACTAAAATACAAGCTTATAACGACTTTCCTATTTCCAAAACTGGTATGTACTTACGTGTCAGGACACAAAAAGAAGGAAGCTCCTATGGAATTAACATGAGTAAACAGGCGGGACAGATGGAAGAGAGGACAAACACTTGTGATCTGGAGTCAGGTGGCGGACAAACATGGCCACAGGGGAGCGACACAAGTGGCCCTCGGACGGCAGAAGTTGAGGACCCGGCAGACAATGGACAGATGCGTGGGGCACATGCCCGCTATAAATAACATCGCTACCCTTGGCGACAACACCCCCAGGACCCGCGGATAACGAGCTGTGTATTATACTCCACTGCTACGATCTAATTGCTATTGCGGTCATTGAACATTATGTGCTGTCCAGCATTGAGTTGGCGTGAGGCAGATTTCACTTTTGAGAGAACATGTCGAACCAAACCTCTAAGAAGCAACATAATGACTTGTACATATCTAAGTTTATAACCTCTTTATCATTTTTGAATAAACATGGATGAAATAAAAATATTTACAATTATTTATGAAGATGATTTACAACTCTAATGAAATTACAACTTTGAATTGAAAAACTTCAATATACAGACAAAAGGTTTTGTCTATATTTTTTAAGCTTTTATAAATTTAGAAAAACTAAGTAATAAAAGTCATTTGAAAGTACTAATAAAACAAACAAAAATGTCCTTAATCACAAAATAATATTTGATGCAATATTTTAACTGTGGTCCACACATGCTAGTAGTTCCTCAAGCAATCAACGAAGGCAAGCCTACACATTTTATTACTAAGTAAATCAAAATTAAACTAATCAATAATTCAGATCTGCCACAAACTTGTACGCATTAATATTATAAATCCGTTAACGTAGCAGAGTAGAATACATTCCTACGTCTTCCTATTGTGTAAATTAAAATACAGATCCCAGTTACATTTCAGCGTAAGTATAACTTTTTTAAATCCATCTTTTGTTTTTATTTCAAATGTTGAGCATCCATTTCGCAAGCTTATAGTTATCAGCTAAGTTCTGGAAGCATTTCCAATAAGTCTAAACAAGAAAAGAAAAAGACCTTTTGAAAGAGATGATAAACAATAAATCTTAGGATCTTGCACAATACCCTGGCTCGTGGCCAAACGTCCTGATCCGATCCTCCAAGGTGGAGGGGTACCCAATTCCACTTATCCGACCTGCCCCTAGACAAAGCCGAGCGGAAGCTACGGTTTCCGGCAGATCCTGTTTCACCCTTCTTCCGCTCAAGCCATCAACCCTACCCTACTCACCTTCCATTCTTTCCTGAAGAAATCTTACTCAATGGACAGATAGGGGTGGGCACTGCTTAGCTAAACAGCACTACAAGCATGTCCGAGAGCACGAAGCGCTCTTGTATAACACACTATGCCCTTTATGGGAGGCATCTCAATTACCAAAGCTATATCCGTGGATAAACTATATCATCGGTAATTGGAAAACCATCGGTTACGGTCGAAAATTGTTCACAATCAAATATTTACCAAACCTCCGTGCTAGGATGGTTTCACCTTATTATTGGAGGTACGGCTGAGGTTAGCTCGAATAAGTTTAATGCACACACACCGCGGTCTTCGGTCCGCAGCACAAGAACGTTACGCTTTCTTCTCGCTAACATTCATAACGGTAATGTGCATAACTGTTTATTATATATGTTTTCGGTAAGGGGCTAAAGTATAAGGGAACCTCCGGAAGAGTCGAACCATTTCTGAAACACTCGGAAAATCATATGGAGTAGTCCATTCACAATGGAGATAAAGGCATTTGTACCAAATTCAAAAGAAGACATGTATGCGATCGAAAAAAATCTATTAGCTTTTTTATAGTAAACTATATTGTACAAATAAGTAATAAAGGCCAAAAACTTTTTTAAACGTGTTGGCAGTTTCAAATTAATCTTTAACTCAATTTAATATTTGCTACATATTTTTAAACACCACAACAGTAAAATCCTAGATCCAAGACAAATACACTACATTTCATTCTTCAACCCAAAATCACTCCAATCCTCTGGTTCTTTTTATCTCCTGCTCCCTGTTACCTTAACAACGCAGTTTAAAAAGAAAATGGTCAAAAGACCTACTATACCAATAAAAACCATATCAAGCAAATACACGAAGACAATACAAATAACAAATTTGCTAGATGCGTAGCCGCAAATTGCATAAAATATAAATAAATAAAAATAAAAACATTCTGTATGCTATATGTTCACTAGTTTGATTTGGTTTACTCTAATCCTTTTATATGTCGGTGTTTGTTTCTTCTACCAAATTTGATATTTCATTCATCAAATAGAAAATTTATATTTCCCTTTGCGATTCAGTAATAAGTATAAATAAAATTAATTAATGAAGAGGGAAAAATCGAACAGAAATTAGGAGGAGAAGGGAAAGGCGCTAGGCAAGAAGCTTCCCTCGGGCATAGCCTTAATGGGGTCGTCGGCAGGGTTGTAAAGGAAAAAAAAATGTGTTTGTAAATTTGTGGCTTTCAGGGTTTCCTTGTTTGTTTACGTTGTGCTCGACACTGTTAACAAATCGACCTTAAAAGTCTTAATGACAGCCGCTGTATCTCACTCAGATGGTTATCTTAGAATTAAATACATTACATGATGTGAAGAATACTCACAGGCCAGGTGAAGTCAAATCTGAAGGTGATGAGGTGCCCCTCGGGTCCAAGTTGAAGGGAATTATTTCCAAGGACTGGGGTAACGAGATCGCCAAAGGTGCATGGGGTGGTGGTGTCCACTTGGGCCTGGTAGTGCTTGAGGCATGCCCTCACGCGCACAGAGCATGGGCTGGGGCAGGGGGCCCCAGGCTTCGAAGCCATGGGGCCCGAGCAGCACTCCCCCCGCCAGTCCAGGCCCAAGGGGTTCTCCACTCCCAGCAATCGCAGCTCGAAAACTCCAGAGCTGTAGGCAACCTGAAACAAATAAAGCACATCGTAAGTTTCAATGAATGGAAAGTCATAACATTACACTAACTAAAATAAAAGTAGGAAATGAATCAATGAAATACATTCCTAGCTCTCGATTGAGCCGAGTCGTATCTCAAAGAAAATAACACTAAAGGAAAGACTAATCATAGGACCGGCCTAATAACGCCAATCGGGGCGGAATAACAGTCGTTAGAGGTGGAAGGAATTTGATGACGAAATTGCCGTGATGTACCGAGTTTGTCTGGACGTAACGATTTTCGAAGCCCCACCAGGGCGAGCCACCGGCGGAACCCTATCTCAACTCCGGTCTGCACTTCTTGCTGACCCCTATAATTAGGGACCTCTGTCGAATTGTATTCCCCTTTCACAAAAACTTTCTCATAGTCTTATTATTTTAATTAAATGAATCCAGAGAAGGGAGGATGTTGCATCACTCTGTACAAACAACTTCAACAAAGGAGAATTATTTTTCTTGATTTGTAAGTCCCAAAAGAATGCGACTTTCACCGGCTGAGAGGATCCTATTTCGGCTATTTCCATCATTAATTTTTTTTCGGAAAAGGGTAGATTTTATCAAAGATTTTTAAAAAGAACGAAAGAAAACTCTTCAAATTAAACAACAGCTGTCATGAATTATGGTATATTCGCATTAAAAATAAACGTAGTTATGCACCCACATGATGAAATGAATCATTGAGGTGGGCAGTACGAGTCGCTGTTCACTCAAAAGAACTTTAATATTATGTCAATTTTAAAAAATATTAAACCTCTAATAAGAATTTTAAAAAAACAACAGACATGTATATAACAGATAAAACAATCTCAAAGATCTTTCGTACCTTATAATGATATGCATCATTTGCAACCGCATTTGCCACGAATAGCGATGAGGTTCCTGATAAGGAACAAAAGGAAGTGGTTCATTAGTCTGGAGCATAAACAAAGGGCGGGAGACAGATAGTACGGAAATAGTGACAGAACCTCAACGGAGGCGGTCTAAATGTGTCCTCCGGCTCCCGGCGGAAAGAGCATATTCTTCAATATGTTGCATCATCGGGTCATCTCCACTGCCTTGTCAATATTAAGATGCGCTAAGTTCAGTAAAATAGGGAATCATTTCACGCCTCTTTTAAAGTCTATATTATATTAAACAAAACCGCGCGGAATCACTAGAGCCGTTATCATTTTGTGTTGAATCTGGAGTTTTAGGAATATGGTTAAAATTGCCATAGATTAAACTCATCTGAATGATAAGAGTATAAGCACTCAGATGCGATTCCTTCACGAAGAAACGAACAACGTCTTAGATTTATGACCCGACAACAATGCACCATAATTCCAACATTATGAACGGTCTAGGACAGATTACTTCGTCGACTTGTTTGATTATCGACGTATTTCGCTCATTTTGAAATGAGGTGAACCGCAATAGAACATCTTCTATATGATGATACAAACTAATTTATCGACTTCTGTCATTGCGCTCTATAAAATTCAAATTAGATATAAATGCTACGGATAACGAAGGCACCCCACACGCCAGAGGGGCCAAAAAACTGACTAATTGTCATTTCCTGGCTGAAGGATGAACGACCTCCACGAGGTTGGAGATCCGTCTGATAGTGTTCACCTCACGGGGCGACAATCCACAAAATTAGTAGCGTCATTAAAGGTGAAATGGTTGTAATAAAGGTAAGTAATTGAAGCGTGGGAATGCAACTTCCTCGGTTATCGCTCCAAAAGGAGATTTTCTTGTGAGAGAGTGACCCAGTGATGAAGGAATGAAAAATAAAAAAATAAAAACCGGTCATACGCGGCCGACGTTGGGAGGAACGAAAATAAATAGGACAGTGCGTTGTCGCTAGGACTTCGTGAAAGAACAAGCGTGTTAAAGATCTTGTTGGAAGTATGAATAATTAGAACTGTAGTATAATTAATTGTTACTTTAAATACGGAAGACCAACGCAAATCTTCACAACCTTGCTGTTCATTGCTTGTTTAGGAAATACAAATATTTTATTGTATGCGATTTTTTCAATTTTAATTAATTGATATATTTGATTTTTACGGACAATGTAAATACCTTTTTTTTTTACTTTTTGAAAAAAATCAGGAAAAGAAGTAATTTCAGAAGAGGGGTCTATTAGATGGGGCAGCGGACTGATTGCTCTAGGTAAATCAGAGAAGGTAATTGTAAGAAAAAAAAACTAATGGTGTTGGGGTTTCGCCGTTAATGGTGGTTTTGATGAGACGCTCTTACGGCTATGGTTGCCCACATAATCGTTTTCCTATTACTTTCGTCGCTTAGCTTCGAATATACTCCTTGGGACAAAATATACCCGTTCCATTTTTTGTAACGGCTACTCCCACGGTACTATATAGCTCTTGTAATATTTATTTAATTATTTAATGTAATCCTTTAACATATATTTTGAGAGTATATCGTAATCGTTATCGAGACTGATAAAACATAATATAAAAATCAATAAATTATTTATAATGAAGTCATAGACTCGCAAAATTTATACACAATGCCTAAACATTATTTTATGTAAAATTCTGATATTTAATTGGTCAACACAGAGCTAATTCTATTTTTTTTTATTTATTTGTAATCGCCTCTACCCTAGAGGATCATTGGCGGACATTATAATTTATATAATTTTATTTACAAAAAATATTAAGAATATTTTTTCAAAGAGCTATGAATAAGCAACAATACAAAATTGTAATGAAATTAAAAATCCCAATCAAATATTAAATAATAATAATCTTGAAGTTGATTTTATTAAATCAATGAAGTGAATTTATATTCCAGGTATTCTTACCAAATTTGAATGTGGATTTCAAGGTAGCGCGAAATTCAAAATGCATGAACTATAGACTTATGAATTTATTAATTAACCGGCTAACAATATATACTTGATTATTATATTATAAGCTACAGTATATTTCTCCTAAATAAAGAAATAATAATATATCTTGATTTATCGCCAATAAGTTATTACAAGCTGTAAGGACTATTAATAACGAACTTCGCAACGATAGTTTTTTGCCCAAATAAAGAAAACGTCGCCCAGTATCTGATTATAGACAAAATAATTTATGCCTCGGGATCGATCCAGTTTTCTATAACAACTTTCCCGTTTTAGTATCACAACTGAGGCAAGGAGAATTAATAAGGAAAAAAATTTGCCATGGGAACAGGCCTTTATAAGAAGGAACCCGATGTGATGAAATTTTACCATATTTATAATTTATATTTATGAAATGTGGTTTACACAGATGTGGATATATAAGAGTGCATTACGGGAGTAGGTGGAGAGTTCAAGACTAAACATTTTTTTCATGAAAAAAACCCATTGCTTGTATCACAATGTTCGCAGTGAAATAACGTAATTCGAAAAAAAAATTACTTAATAATTACTAAAAAATATAAAAAAAAATTTATCATTTAAATACAGCAACATAATAAAATTAACAATTGACATTAGGAAAAAAATAATACCGTACAGGTCATGAGGTGTAACACGCGAGAAGGAAATACGAATACATCTTAAAGTATATACTGATAATGTTAATCCGGATGCGCTATTAAAAATGTTAATTTTTTTTTGTTTTAATAAAAAATAATTCAACCTTCGTGGTTGATAATCCGATCTAACGGTAGCAACAGATGACTGCTAACTGTAATTCGCTCTAAACTTACCTTCATGCTCTATATATTTATTTTGTAATTTTGAAAATTATTTAATTTTGCAAATTAACACTGTTATAAAATTGAAAAATTGTAGTAAGTGAACATTATCAGCTATACTCCTCTTGTTGTATTTTGAAAAAAATACAATAATTGTCGCATAGAAATAAGCTTAAGTTAGAATAAAACTGATTTTCATCAGTTAAAAAAATATTATTTTATTGGAGTTCATTAGTTTTATTCATTTTTTATCATCAAGAAAACTTTCTATATATTTATTTATTTTTTTTAATTGGAATTAGGATTTCCTATTGCACAGGCAATGTAAAAATATGTGATAATAATAAATAAATATTTTTCTTATTATGTTTTAAGTTATTTCAATTTTCATTTGAGCACTGTAAACTAATGTCTTTTATACTTCAGATTTTTTTTTTTTATTTGTTGAGATTTCTCTTAAAGTTGAGGGTGAAAATCTATATCTGTGAAATCTGTGAAAATGAATATAATTCAATAAAAATATACTAATAATAATAAGGTTTTTTTTATTTAATCTGATTTCATAACTTTGATTCAGTCACTGATGATACTTAAAAGTCATTGGTGGGCTTTTACTTAATGAGGGAAAATAGTATTTTTATATAAAATAAAAGTCACTACAAATCATTATTTATTGATTTCAGTTACACGATAAGCTAATTCGGAATTAGACTATCACAATTTAAAAAAATTAATTTTGTAGTATTATCAACTTAATGGTTAATGTTAATTCAATTTGTAAATAAAACACTTTCTACCGCTTCTCTTTATCTTTTGAGAGCAATAACAATTCTAATTTGATTGTTTAAATTAATTTTTGAACATTTATTTTTCGAAGGCTTTCGTTTATAACATGAATTCTTTTTTTATAGTAAACAAATTTATGGAAAAAATTCTACTACATTCCTATTATACCAGAAGCGAACAGTGGTGATTTTGAACAAATTATCCTTTTTTTTTTTTTCAATTTCGTATTAAAAAAATATGAATCAATTTATATATTTATATATAATACATAACAATATATATATGTGTACATTTTTTTACATATATATTTTTTTTTATTCAACAACAATTTATATATGAAAGCCATTGTTGTTGGTGTTTCTTATTTGATTTGTGAATCATGATTCTTTGATTTGTAGAGCCTCTGCGTTTTGTAGACTTCGATATAGCTTTTGATGCGTATACAAACTTTTGAGTTTTGGTTAATTCACGACGTAATTTTTAGTTTTCTTAAAAAACTCATTTATGAATAATGATGATTTACTTTCGTTCTTTTCTACCGAGTTTCAGTTAAATTTATATTTTTTTTTCACGGCACTAACGGATTACCTACTTGTAGAGAGATTCGGATCATCAGACGAGGAGGAACTCTTGTGGATGGAAGACATGAGGGAGTTGAGAGACTCGTGACAAAAAGACGACATTGAAGGAGGGAATGCGGGAGGGAGAGGAGGAGCTTTGTGTCCCTTTTGTTGGACGGCCGGACAATGCCGCTCCCCCGCACGTCCGTTTTTTGGCCGGCCGGCGTGCGTCGTTAGTTCCTCATTGTCTACCGAGCCACCGCTCCGATCGGAATCATTAGTGTATCGTCGTGCTCATATGGGCCCGTCTCATTGTCGGCCCTTGTATCAGAGGAAAAGAAAAAAGTGTCGTTATGTCAACGTCATCGGGAGGCACAGATCAATCAAATGTTCTACCATCATCATTATCGCTCTCAAGTAAAAAAATAAAAAACATCTATTGACAAATCAGTACAATTTTAACACTTTAAAAAATATCAAACTCTAAAATTAAACATTAATAGTTCTAATTTATTAACGAAATATAAAAACTTCCAGAAAAAAAAATTCCAGATTTAAAATAAAAGGTATGAAATGTCAATCAAAAACTTCATTTAATCACTGCTTTTAATGAATAAATAAGACTGGTTGAATAGAAAAAAAGAATAGATATAAAATAAAATACCAATGTGAACAATAAAAAAAATACAACTATAGAAAAAAATGAAGATTTCTCAAATGATATCCACCAAAACACCACGTTGACTATCATAAAATCTATTTGAATATTTTTTTTTTTAATAGCGGGAGCAGTTTGAAACCGTTACAATTTTTAAAAGATAAAATCGAATCATAAAAATTATTTAAATATGTTTTTTTTTTAAGTTATATATCATTTCGGGTGTGTTATTTATTTAGTTTGTATGTGTTCTTTACTTTCTGTTTATTATTCAAGTATCTTATTTCATTCTAAATATGTTGAAAATTATAATAAAATTTTCCCTTCTACAGAAACTTTTTTCTTCATGTTTTGATTTAAAACTTATTGAAAATATTAAAACAAAAAAAAAATACTTTGATCACTTTCTAAAAAAATTAAATAATTCTGAATTTTATAGCAGAAACAATAATCTATGATAAACTCAATTAAACGTACTTATTTATTTTGTTAAATACTGATTGATAAATTGATAAGATGCAGAATGCTACAATCCGTAAATAAATATTCACAAATAATAAAAAATTGCAAATGTCCGTTATTGCAATTCTGATGAAAACAAAATAAATCGTTTATGAATAAAGGAAAAATCGAGTTATAAAATAGAGTCAAAATAAAAAAAAAATTTTAAATCATAAAATTCTTCTAAATCATATCACTGACAAAATAAATATCACAATCTGAATTCTTCCTTTACAGTTCAGAAGAACCAAATAATATATTTATTTTTAGTTCAACATAGTGACAGCAATCATATTTCTGACAGGAATAATATTGTTTTTTTAAAAATAACCCGAAATGCATCACATCCCGAAAAAGCTACGAAAGGCCAGTAATCAAGATGAATGGAGCTAAAAATAAATATTCAAAACAATCTTCGATCCCCATCCTTTCACTCTATTTTTTCGAATGTTACATTACTGCGATATTATAAACATGAGTAATTATTTATTTGCTATTGTTATCCGGATTGTTTGTTATTTTTTCCTAATTCCTTAAAATGAATAAAAAATAAGGAATCAACTGGAAAAAGTAAACAGTACATCGCTCTGGCTGTTGACGCCTGTCAACAATGCAATTAACGACTTTAGGCTCTCAACAATGAGTTAATACGTTGCTAACGATTCAAGTCGTTAGACTCTATTCAAATCCAATCAAATACAATTCAAAATTAGATGAATTTATATTTATAATAATTTAAATTTGATGTTTTATAAATAATCATTTAAATATTATCCTTAAAAAAATATTATTTTTAAGACCTTTTTTTTATGTTTAAGTCAAAATGTATCCTCATAGGATGTATCATGGATTTTTTTTTATCATAGATAAAATAAGAAATTAATTCCTAAATATATAATAAAAAAATTATATAAATAATTTTTTTATACCTCGGATTTTTTTATATTATATTATATTATAAAAATTATAATCAAGAAGTTTAATATTTTGGAGTGAAATATTGATATAAATTCCAGTTTCACTGTTTATACAGATTAATTAATTGATTGTAATAAAAAATTGTTGATTAAAAAAGAATTGCAGATAAGATAACAAATGGCTTCGATCTGTGGATCTGGACCCCATGCCAGCGTTGACAGTTGGCTACAAGCAGTATATTAAATAAAAAAAAATAAAAAGAGGTCTACTGGGAATCGAGAATCCCTGAGGGATATCTCAAGTATTTTAAGCTCAAGTGCCCCATATGTGCTCCCGATTCGGCGCATCTGGTACTTCACAATGGAAAAATAATGAGCCACAAGTGAATCATACCATGGGTATCAAATGGTATGGATAAAAGTGATAAGAGTATATACATCAACAAAATGCTACGAGATCAATCGGATATAAACAAATACTATGTATTTAAGAGTAGAAGTTAAATTTACATAAATATATCATATATTGATAATGTGAAATCGTAAAACTTTGTTTATTATTAAGCATAGTGAAATTAAGTGTCATACATTATTTATAAACAAAATTGATAAGATTTCATCTCAAGATAATAATTTTGTTGATCTTAGGTTTTGATAAGATTATAATCATTTATCTTCCGTTTAATATCGTAAATATAAAAAATTGTTGTTAAATTGATGATTATTATTATTATTACAGTAAAATCGATAATTTTTATTATATATTAATAATAATGAAGTCAAATTATAATTAATGGTAGAATAGCTTATCTACATATAAAATACGAATAAATACTCAAAATAAAATTAGACTAATATGGTAAAAATGACAAGATGAAATTAATTTATTATTGAAATTAGGGATGGGAGGGGGTCTGGCCAGAACTTTATAAATTTTTTAAGCCCCCAAATCGATACTAAAATAAATTTAAAACCGATAAGAAAAGACCGGTTTTGTTTCTACACTGCTGGATACCCGGACGGGGAAGCGAAGACGGCAGATGTACCGACTGGAAGGCAGGTGTCTCCCGGCTACCTATTCGACCGCTGAGGCAAATAGGAAAAAAAGGTTCACCTATTGGGGACTTTTCAGCAGATGTAGCATTTCTGTAATGGTCCAAGGCAGAAAGGACCGTGAGAACTCACGGCAAAAGTCCAAAATACGTGGGATCGCTCCATGATGAGCAAGATAATACTTGTCATATGGATCGGTGGACAATACTGTTTACTAATTGGTAATACGGTTCGTATCCGCTATAGTAAACAAAGCGATAATCCTTACTTAATTTGACAGTAGGAAAATAACGAGAAAAAAAATGAGAAATTAGCATTTTTGACCAAGCTGTCAAAGATGTAATAAATAAATATTATTTTTAATATATTTTTTGTAATAAACAATAAATTTGAAGAAATGATTATTGTGCGTTATCAATACTTGTATACATTTTTTTTTTTTTTTTTATTTGACTTGGAAAAATTACACTGAATTTTGAACAGTCAACAATTATAATTCCACTAATGGATCAATTTCAAGTTATGAACGATAAGAAAATATGATAATAAATTGTCATGGATTTAATTTTAATGATTATTCTAAACGAATTTATATGAATCGATGGCAGTATTCGAGAATCACATACAAACCTAAAATTGACAATTTTTTTTATTTTTTAAGAACATCTTCCCGAGTTAATTATTTTATCAAAACCGACAGGAGGTAGCCGCGATAAGAAGTGTTGTCCCGTTTCCAGGACAAGTATGGCTAATTAATTGTCAGATAGGGACGCGATGTAAAGCTAGTCACACAAAGGAACTGGCCAGACCGTGAATTGTTTCACAAATCAGATCCCATGTGAAAACAATAGAAGAAGAGGACTTGATATTCAAGTCTGCCACAAGATTCCCAGAAGAGGTCTTACCTTGGCGGCAGAGAGCGTCAGCAGCAGTATAATCCCTGAGGTTGTCATAGCTGCTGTCCTGTCAGTGTTGATGGAGGGTTAGATACCCTGCGAAGTTATTCAAAGCAGCAAGGCTGTTGTCCTAGTATCCAAAGCTCCTGTGGTCAGGTGGTGTGGCACATCACACTAAAACACTCCCGCACATACACGACAGATTCACTGATACTCTCGTACTAATACGTGTGCTTAATGGCCGGGACATATACTAGCGACTCCGGCTCTAGTGGAAGACTGGCAGTAGGAGCGACGGGGGCTGGGGGGCAGGCAGCGGGCCCTGGCGGAGGAAAGCTCAACTACAGCGCTCCCCCACCAACTCCGACTCCCCCCACCACCGCCCAACTACCCCCGACAAAAAAAATTTAACCTAACCCAAGGGTAGCAAATGCTCTCTGAGAATTATTATTAATAAAAGGCATTCACATCCTGATTATTTTACTTTATTTATTTTCTTTTTTTCATTATTTCTTTAAGAAATATATATTTAATATTATATATTTCATTTATTCACACTTATATTTTTCGAGGGTACTTTCTTTAATTTATATCAAAGATTTTTTTCATGGAAATACACTTATAAATTAAATATTTAAACATCATGTAATTAATTAAACATCATACTAAGGGACCTTACTATGTCTAATTACATACAAAGAACACAAGTACAGCGCTGGGAACAGGGGGTGCTCTTGGCTGAACTTACCTCCACAATGGAAATATATATTTATATATATTTTTATTTTATTTTATTATTTTTATTGATCCATATTTGGTTATGTAGGTGTTCTCACCTAAATACTTAAATAGTCAAAATAAATTTTCCCTTTAATTTATAATTCATTTACAGCTACTAAATATAAGCTACACTATTTAAGAAGTTTATCCCTTAAAGAATTAATGGTCCTGTAATTAAATCCTTCAACATCATTTCATGTGATTTTTTTTTCTTCCAGAGTAGTTATCGTTACTTTAGAAAAAAAAATTAGCCACTCGAAATTAAAGCTCGGATTCATTGCTGAAGTACAGTCCACTTTAATCAATGAGAGCGAAAGACTTCCGTCCATATAAAGTTAAAATAAAAAAAAATAAATTATTCCAAACTTATATATATTTACAAGATCATTTATCACAGTGGCATATATTTTTGAATAATTTAAATTTGCATTAATATATGAGCTAAGGAAGCAAGAAACTTCGTTTCATGATGTTGAAATAAACGGAACTTTAAGTGATAAGAGAACCTATTTCCTTTAAAAAACTTTATGATCACATTTTCAATTGATACATTACATACCTACATTGATACTTAATGTATTTTTTTTTTTACTTTTTAAAATATATTATTTATGTTTATACTCACAGGCGGATCTACAGGGAGCTCCCTCCCCCCCCCCAAAAAAAAGGTAAAATATAACTATATTTTATGAAAAAACTTATCTCTGAAAGTATCGTTGTTCGAGACACAACGTACCGAAGGGGTGATGTTCAAGTGATCAGGTAAAATAGTTCGATTTTGTAATTGAAGATTGAAAAAAAATTAATTATGAAATATCATTAGGCAATCATTTGATAAATCCACTACTTTAATATATTTACATACGCACACACAAAAAAAACTTATATATATATATATATATATATATATATATATATATATATATATATATTTATAAGTTTTAAATATGAAAAAAAATATATATAGCTGCCTACTTATACAATACGTACATAAGTGAAAGTAAACATATCTCGTTGAAAAGTTTTTAGTTTTAAATATGAACCAGAAGTAATTGCCATTAATGTATTTTTGCTCTTTTTCTCGTAGCAATACTACAATTTCAGTCATATTTTTCATTAGTGCATCGGCAGAATAATCTCTACGTCATACATCATTTAATAAGTTTGATTTTAACCAAATTGTAAATAAACTTACATACCGCTAAAAAATAAAATTTAAACACATCTAAAGAAGCTTTTTAAAACTGAAAGAAGCCTACTGTGTACCTAATGAAGTATGAATACATTTTTTATTTTCATTTATTTAATGATGTCAGTTTTAAGTTGTCTGATTCTTCATATTTTCATTCAAGTATGAGAGATATAACTTCAAATCTTGAAATATTTTTGAGGGCGGAGCTTTATTATGTGTATCAATAATGAGTTAAGTAATATTAAAAAAAAAATTAAATATTTCGAATTGATAAAATATTATTGAATTTTTCTTAAAAATTGTTATTATTTCCGTCATTTAGGAATATAACATTTTTCAAAGAAACAAAACGTTATCATCAACCCATTATTTTTCGCATAAATTTTATATTAAATATATTTTTGATGATATTTATCATGATGATTCTATATATATAATATATAATATGTACTCCGTTTTTTTTCTCCTTTTTTTTTTTTTTTTTTTTGTTCCTCGGTTGGTACGTGATTGGAGAGCAACTGCTGAGGATAGGACCCAACCACCTGGCGATGGTTGCCTGAGAGGAGCCTGCGACCCAGAGTAATGGTTCGGCAGTCGGCAGCCAAAAGGTTGACATAAAACATTATCGTGACAAAACCTTTTGGAGAAAATGGTCATACCATGATTAATAACAATAAAGAAGAGAAATTCCACAAAAATATGTAGCTTAGTACTTAAAAACAATGAAATGTGACATGTCATGCTCAGAACTTAAGGCATAATAGTCCTTAGGAACTCGGACCTAAAAAGTTCACTCATAACAGAAGGATTCATTATAAATTACGATGTTATTCCATGTGAAACGAATCTCATCCATTCCAAAGCAGCTAATTTCCAAAATGGTGATTGATTTAAAAAATAATGGACCGGCTTGTCTAAAATTGAAACCGAGTGTATGTTACAAACATTTCGGAACAGTATCCATTTTTTAACGTAGTGTGAAAAATAAAAATGCGAACACGGACAACTTTTAACATAAAATAAAAAGGATTTTTCAGAACTTTTATTATTTTTTCGCCTCCTGAACTGCGCAACCCTTATATAAAATAACTCCAAATGCAGGGCCTAAAATAATTTAGAAAATATATCATGCCAAATAATTCGTATATTGAGTACCAAAACGTAATAATTTGGTTAAATGGTGTGTTAAAAAACAACATGGCCCTGGACACAGGGGAAAAAATGGACCTCATCGCAAGTGAAGGTTTGAATGTAAATTATGAAAGTGCATGGATGTTATTCTAAATAAAATGAACCTTATCTGTCATTTCAGATTTCAAAATCGGGGGAATATTAGGCTAGTAACATGAAGATTGAATCGGAAAATATGTTGCGTAAAATATTATTTTTTTAAAATTTGTATATATGGGCTCAAACATTTAAAAACCAAAATTATTAATTCGAGCAACCTTTTAAAGCCAACCTTTTTCGGAAAAACTTTTTAAAGCCAAAAAAGCCATTTTTTTCGATATTTTTTTTTGGCCTATAACTCCTGAACCGTGCATCGAAGAGAAAAACGTATTCTATAAGAAAGCGAGTTAAAATTTGGTTTAATAATTTAGTTAAGTCTTATGGTAGAAAACTTCAGTAAACCTACGCTGATTTTTCCAAATGTTTTATAAATTACTATAAATGGTCCTGTAGCTTGAAAACGAGTTCCCAAAAGGGAAGAACTCATAAAGTCAAAGTTGTGGAAAATCAAATTCTGCGTTCACTGAGTACTAACTGTTTTAATGTCGGTCACTTAATCGATTAAAATTTATATTCGAACCTTCGTCTGCAATAATGTCCCTTCTTGAACCCTGGCTCATTTAACATTAAACATAATATTTTTATTAATTTTGTCAAACACTAAGATATATTATTTTAAATAACTTAAAAAATATTCATCATTTATCATACTGTTATCAGTGAGTTCATTTTATTTAGTGACAATAACAACGTTGCTACTTGTCTTTAGTACATTTCAAATATCAGTAGTTAAGGGAGGAGATATTGATTTGGGTTACATTACCAAAAATTCCACACATTACTATTATGGAGACCAGAAGTACACGTAAATAAACAAATAAATACAACGATCTCAGTAGTACAAACTTAAGTAATCCGAGCTGCAAAATAAAAATAAAAATGGAAGAAAGGAGATTAGATTGAAAGTTCTATTCAAACAAGAAAAATAAGGACGAAGAGAGTAAGAGGTAAATTTCAATTAAAAAAAAAAAAAATCACTGAAGTTAAACTAACAAAAATAAAAAAAAACTATGGTGTGTGCTTTACACCACTCGATAAAAGTGAAAACATAAACAAGACGAAATTAATAATATGAAATATAAATTATAAATAATGGATCATTATAAAGAGTACGAACTGTTTAACGTTTCCCTCGCTTACAGTATGCAGGTCCGACATTTAATTTATGAGATATTTTAATCCATATATTCCATAATTTTTAAAAACCGGCGTCGCTTTAAGATACAATTTTGAATAATAGCCCATGATAGAAAGAATGAAATTGTGAAAATTTCCCTCACTAACAATATGCAAGTCCAATTTTTAGTTTTTGAGATATTTTAATCCATATGCAAAAACACTTCAATTAGTCGACTCCAGCCGACTTTACACGAGCATTACGCATAGGAAATCTGACGGCTCAATATAATTCCTACTCCACAAAAGATTCCAGTACGCGCCTGAAGAAGTTTTCATTTCAAAAATAAAATTTAAGTCCATTTAAATAAAAAAAAATTCAAACTTGTATACATGGATCTGTTCAGTTAATTATATTAATAAATTATAAAAAATTGAAAAAATGAAAAACAAAAAAATTAGAACCAATAATTATGACTTTTTGAAATTATCTTTACTCAAAATTGTCTCGAAAAGCTAGCAAAATATTTTGTAGAATTTTTTTTTCCTTAAAACTGCTGTGTATATTTTAGTGCTTTTTCAACAGGTGTCAAATACACGTGGGAACTTCCCCTCTCTTATAATGGTCATTGAACGTGCAAATACCACTTTGGAACCTGTATAACTGTATACCTGCAACATCTGGTTCGGCTTACAAATATGACCTCTTCCAGGGTACCTGACTTGACAGACAGCTTGGAACCAAGAGGGGTGAACACTCCTGTCTGCTACTCTTTGGTCCCAATAATAAAAATTAACATATTACAATAACAATAAATGTAATATTATATATTATACTCTCTATCGGTAATAATACCTCATTTAGATATAAAGTTGTCCTCTACCTAC